CTTGATTTTTTTGTTTTTTTATAGATATAAATTACCCAACATTTAAGTACTTTTTATGATCCCATGGAAAGTAATTACAACGAAGCTTACTTCTGTTCCTTACAAATGCAATGCAATTTGTTGAAAGCCACAGCAACAATTCCAACAAGTCTGATGTTGCCACTTCTCAGTTCTTTGTAACAGCTTTCTTCAAGATACGTAGCAATCTAAAAACACGGTTCACAAACAAAAAGGAAAGAAAAAACAAAGAAAAGAAACTCAGTGAGTTGTGCAAAAAGAAATGACTTTCATATTAGTATTACAAAACATTCTCACCTTAGGGATCCACAAAGGATTTCTGGAGGCATATTCGCAGAGCTTTACGACTTTTCTTTCATTTGAATTGCCTTCCTGCATTACAAAAATGAAAACACCATGAAATCTTCTTAAGCTGAATACTTGAAGAAAAACGTGTTAGAATAAAAATACGGAGATTCAAGAAGAACTAAATGCTAATAATGACTTTAGAAGCTATTAGAACTTAAGCTCATCAACTCTCCATCGCCACACCAACCGCCACATACAGAATAATAATATGCAATTATAGTTCGTCGGTGTGGAGAAAATGGAACTAAAATCAAGGTTTTGACATAAAAACAGCAAAAGCAGGAAAACAATATGCAATTACTCCACAACTAACTAATCCTACATCATATTAAATTAATTTCAAGATACAAGTAAGCATAAATAAATGGGATACCTTATGAAAGGTTGGAAGAACTTTTAGCTCGAAGGAATCAATATTGATGGGAAAAGTGCTCTTTCAAAATTATCTCACTCTCCACAAATAGATATGAACTTGGGGCATTTGGACGCTAAAATATTATGCAAAATCTAGGAGATCTGCATAATCTGTCACAATATTTGAACCACTATTAACTTCCTTGTAATATCACAAATCAAACTTTCTGTTCATAAATAGTAAATACTTTTAGCCAGCTTCCCTCCCTCTTACTAACTTGAATGGCTGGAATTAACCATCGGGATGGCCCCGTAAAATAGAAAATATACATGATTTAATCAATTTTATTATATCAATATAATGTTCACTATACATTAAGGAAGGAGAAATCGATCAAGGAGTTAAAAACAAGGACAAGATACAAGATACTCTATGAACGAAAATTCAAGAACCAAATATTTGTATGTGGTTTTAGAGTGAGAAACCAAACTGATGATAAAGTATATACACGATAAATGCAACTCCTAAACGAAATAACAGAAACCAGCATACAACACGTTATTCTTATTGTTTACAGTTATAAACACACCACCAAGCCCAACAAGAAAGGTCTAGTCAAACGCCAAAAAAATGTAGGATTTTCTTGAAAAATAAGTCTCACGGGAGATTTGGGAAATATCCCAGCAAGCAATTTCTTGTAACGCTTAACGGGTTGGGCGAGACCGTGGCCTCAAAGCAGGGCAGCACGCACACATGCTCTCACACGCTGGGAACATCTTGCAGGTAGTTACACCCATTTTTTCTTCTCCTACAAACAAAAATAATTAAAATGATTAAAATAATGTAATGCCCACTTTTCATTTTAAGAAAACCAAACATTACTCATTTATAACACCTAATAACCAGGGTAAATTTCTGCTTTTATGCGCAAGGGCGCTCGATCAGTGAGCTATTACGCACTCTTTGAAGGGTAGCCGTGCCTAAGGGCATATCGGTTGAAGTAGATTCCTCTTTTTGAGAAAGAAAAACCCCTTCCCACACTGCACAAGCTTCTTCCAAAGCATACGGCTTTCTGGATGTAGATGATGATATATATCGTACAATGAAGTACCACACGGGTGGATATCCCTTTCGACAATGAATAACAGTGATAAATTAATGGAGCACCACCTAGTGAAAGAATAGAGCTAAAATTAGAATGTAACAGGCAGACTTCAACATATGCAGAGAAGATCAAGAAAACGCCTTCAGCAAGAAAAACAAAATTGTTCAGGTTTATTATAAAATGGGGAAACCAAAAAACATGATCTTTTCAGCTCAAACATCGCAAACAACAAAAGAAATAGGAATCCAATAACCGCCGAAAAAACATATCCAATATATCATCTTAAGAAGGGGTGATGCTACGTCCCCAAACCCGACGGAATGATTCTGTAACGAAACCGTAGCATTTCTCCTTAAGAAGATAAATGAGACATGAAAACATGGAAATTGCAGAAACCACAAACCTTTTCAGCACAAAGCAGATCTGGGGAATAGAAGAAATAACTCCC